GTCGCCTCCCCGTGATGTCGGGGACGCCTCCGGGCGAGACGGCGCGGGTTGGCTTCCTCAGAGCGGTCGTGTCCTCTGTTGCACAAGTGTTGTTATCCCAGTAAATCCAAGCCTGCTTCACTGCCCTTCCCGAGTGCTTTGGTTTGGTGTGGGTGTCCCGGAGCTGGGCCCAGCCTCTCCCCCGGCATCGCCCGAGCTGGCTGGGACATTGTGTGGTTTATCCAAAAACGGAGGGGGGGAAAAAAAGAAAACTGACTTTGTGTTTGAATTCAGGACTGGCTTTCAGAGGGGAAGGCATCTTCAACCTTCCCGGGGGATTGCATTTAGCACAGCACCGTGAGAAGGGACAAATGCGGGTTTTAACGAACCGGTTTGAAATCTTGTGGGGCGGAAGCAGAGAGGAGAAACCCTTCTCCGTCTCTAGCAGTTGGCAGTTTACCCTGTTGCCCCTCGGTGCCCGGCCCCCCCCAGCTTCCCCGCGCCGTTAGCCGACAACCAAAACGGGGCCGGCTGAAGGATGCCGACGTTCTCCCGCCTCCATCCCGCACCTTCCTTCGCAGCCCCTTAATTATCGTGTTGTTAGTGCAGGTATTAATAAAGCAGCTGTCTCCATGGTGCCGTTTGCCAAGCGTTTTTCCAGCCCGAAGCACTAGGTAAAAGCTCTGATTTTTGCTCCTAGCAAGCAAAGACTTGCTCTGATGCCCCGGTTTTGGTGGCCATGTCCGGACCCCTCTCAGGCCAGACAGTTGCATATTTTTAGATGGGGCCAGCAAGAAAGGCCCCGGCTCCCAGGATGGTCACGTGAGTAATTGGTTTCCAACCTTATTCCCCTTCCCAAATTCTCCCGCAAAGCCCCGCGGGTGGAAAACAGCCCCCGGCTGCCTTCTCCAGGCGCTTTTCCCTTCCCAACCCCCTCATCCCCCTTGCTCCCTGCCGCAGCCGAGGTGCCTTTCGGCTGCCTAACCTGTCGTCAGACGGGGCCGGAGCGCAGGAACGGCAACTCCTAGGGTGCCCGCGAGTGTCATGTTAAGCGAAATCAGTTTGGATACAGTTCTCGGCCATGGCTTAATAAACAACCCCCTTTCCGCCAGGTAAATAAATATTTGCAGCCAGCCGCCTCGCTGGGCAAGAGAGATGCT